TGGCAAGAAGGTTGACATTTTAAACCTTAATTAAAAATCGATACAGGGCTTTAGAATATCGATACAGTATCGGGAAATGAAATATCGCGATATTTCAGTGTATCAATATTTTCTTACACCCCTAATTTTATCCCACCTCTTCTCCTGTAACTTTATTCCATCACTTCTTAATGATAGAAAATTATTCTTATTTTCTTAAAAAACTCATGCATCCAACAGCACTTTCTCTGTCAATTCTGTTTTAGTTTAAACCTTTGAAACTTGAAACAGTTTTGTTTCAAGATTTAACTCCAGTTTACAAGTCTGCCCTTAATGTTTATAATTTTACCAATGCACCAAGTTAGAATTAGTTTCTACTATTTACATATAAAAATATACAATATAAAAATCAATCAAACTGAATCGTGAATCGTTGTGAATAGTGAATTGAATCGGGAAATTTGAATCGATACCCAGCCATAGTCATTTCATAAGTTTCAATGTTAGAACAATTTAATGTGTGTGATACAGGAATCTCTMACTACATACTTAATCCATTTCCATCAAGCCACATGTTGCTGTGAGGAATTTTTAAATCATTTATTAGGAACAACAAATTTCAAACAATGTGCTGGAAAAGGTTCTTAGGATATTGAGATTTTGGTGAACTGAAAAATACTTTTATGATGTTGAAGCGGAAATGTCTAAAGCAGTGCTTTGCTTGTATTAGTTAAACATATGTAGCGGGCTGAGGGTTTGCTGACCTGTCTGTAGTTACGTCTATCCAGAGCCATCCTGTGCTGCCAGAAGTGCTTGAAGAAAGGCGGCAGGATCTCCGTTTTGATGTAGTTTGCCTCCACACCATCTGTTCCACAGCACTGTTTCACCACCTGAAACAGAAAACTGGTGCTGTTCAAATCATTTCAGGACATTATACAGCTGCACTTGTGATTAGAGACAGGGGCAAACTGAGGGCAGAAGAGAAGCAGCTGAACTGTTTGATGGTTTAAGTGTTTGTGTACATCTAGACCCGCTGARTGAGTTGCAAAAATCTTACAGGAAGTCAGTAAGTGTTGTTTACCTTGAGCACGATCTTCTTCATCTCCTCGTCRGGGGACTGGAACTCCCTGATGAGGATCAACATCACCTCTCTGGTGTAATAGTTGGCATACTCAGCATCCATCAGTGGGATGAGATAACCAATAGCTTTGAGGAAAGCAGCCAGACCCTGGTAACAACAAGAGCTCATGAGTTCAAAACTGGACCTCAACTGATASCAGCAGCTCCTACTAGGAAATACTTCAAGAAATAATCAATTTGCAGCTATGTGTAGACTCAGAACTGGGTGTTGTTTTTTTTAATTTGCATTTTCTCCAACTAAAACTCACCTTTCCTCTGTGCTGCCTGATACCTTTCCAGAGCGGCTTCAGCACCGAGTCGAAGGACTCGATACCGTAGGGTGTAGCAGCTTCAGCCAGGGCAGCTATAGCCAGAGCACTGATGGTCCTCACCTTCTGCTGCTCATCCACCAGACCTGCAGAACCACACACACGTTTTATGAACTACTGCTGAGCTAAACCGTGCAGAACAGCTGGGAAACACTTTATAAACATTTGACACACAGCATTAATCTGTCAGTTCTGAATCCACACGTCAGTCAGTAGGATGAGTGAAAGACTGACAAAGTTGTTGCCAATGATTTTACTTTAATTTAATTAATTTCTTTAGGATGTTTTAACCATAGAAATATGTTTTTGTTATTAATCTGTTTCTTGTGATCTGAATTTCTGTAAAGAACCACAGTTCTGGGAGACAGTTTGTCCTCTCCACAAAAGGTTCCTTGTTTTAACTTGTCTGTAAGAAGCATGACAAGTAACCAACAACATTTAAGAAAACATTTTGAAACAGTTCTGATTTAATCCAGATTTTTTTGAGCCTTTTTAAAGCTCATGTTTTACTGCAGCTTCTGATGAAGTTCAGTTTTAACTTGTTTTCTCTTTATTGAAAAGACAGAAGCTCCTCGTTTGGCATTTTAAAGTTTTACTTCAATCTAATAAWCTAACATTTAGTAAAGGTTGGTGGTTATTTGGAATCTGTTTTCCAGACTAGTTTGTTGTTTTAGTCTGTGTGAAACTTTGAGACCAAACTTGAACATAAACGCTACAAGTGACGTTGCTTCAAAAAGGCTTGTCAGAAAACCAGGAGGCTCCCACTGACCGTGTTCGATAATCTCCACCAAACTGCGCAGGTGAGGCAGAATAGCGCAGCCCATCAGGATGGCAATCTGCTGTACGATCTTGATGCCTGTGTGTCGCGCTTGCCACGACTTCTTGCTTTTGCACACAGCTTTGAGGAAGGGCAGGAGGGAGGGAATGCCGAGGGCCGAGGCCACCACAGCGAAGGCTCGAGCCGTTGTGTTTCTGACATACTCGTCCATGTTGTCGATGTCAGGTCTCATTGTAGAGATCATTGTGGCCAAGCCAGCAGCCTGGGACACACAGAAAAATAAAATGAAACTTTGAAGATATTCGTGTCACGATGCTCTGCTCATTCCCTGCTAAACAAATCAGAGTTTCTCCAATAGCCTATATGCCACTGTCATTAATGACGTATTTCCGGTAAAATTCTTGCCACGCTCCTCCCTTCCACTTCCTGGTTACTGCCTTTGTTTTTAGCGTTGGCTCCTAGTACTAGTCTGTGAAAAGTCACAAAAGTTAAAGCATCTGTGATCTACTGGTATAAAACGTGAGTTCTGTTGTGTGCCGTTGTGTTCACTAACCARCAGRTAYGATCGAGTAGTTTGTTTTTATCCATTTTCCTCTTGATGAGGAGGTGACAGCAGWGGATCATAGCATTACAGGGAAAACTTTGCTATAAAATCTCAAGCTCGCGTTTGTAAATCAGCATTTCTAACCTGAGGATATTCAAGAATCAGCGTCAGAAATGAGAAGACGGAGGTTACAAAAGGGAAATGTACATTTATCCTCCTTTTACTGCCAAGACCGAGAGAGGAAAGACCTCCTCCAAAGGACAGCTAGCAGGAAACTAGCAGGAAGCTAACACAGCAGCCGGTACAAAGGTAGGTGTGTGTGCGCGTGCGTGTTATACAAAGTATGAAATGTTTTTATGCGACTTTGTCATGAGTTTTATGCAAAAGTAAAAACTTGTTAGATTATATATTACAGCATAGACTAAAGCCGAGTGACGAACGCCCCCCCACTCCTCCCCCGAGAGCAGCAGAACCTCCGCCTGATAATCATTACGTTTTCAGTTCACTAACGTCGGGGAAAACGATCCAAACCATACAAGTAGCCCATCGATTTAAAGCTCAGACTCTGCTCTTTCCAACAATATAAGTGTCACAGCTCTACGTAAAAAATTCACAGAACAAGAAGCCACGGAATAGCGAAAAAGGCTAAATTCTGGAACCATAAACACGAATGTCTTTCCTTCGTTTTTATGGCTTTAATTCACTTTGGAGTGGTTTTTTTCCACTTGGCTGAACCTGTACGTCTCCTGTGTTAATGTTGGTACATGTAATATGCTAATTCTCTACTGTGGAGATCATTAAGAGTCGTTGTCGGGTGAAAAAAATCTTTCACTAACACTGTGTTGACCGTGAACCGGAAGTGATCGGAGTGGCATCACGTGCTGGACCGGATGTCCGTGGCATATAGGCTATTAAAGCAGCATTACAGCTACAGTTAGTTGAAGGATTGTAACCAGCGGGTGCAGGGTGAGAACAGACGAGCCATGAACGTCTCGTCTGCATGCTCTCTTGTTGGTATCAATCTAGCGAACAACTAGCCCTGATCKGACCACGGACAGGTTGAACAGGCGAGAATAGTTCGCATAAACCGTAGTTCCTGTCATGTTAGAGTCAACAAATCAACAACAGTTCCACAATACCTTTGCCAAGTTGGAGATGATCTCTCTGCCTTCCACTCGAGCGTAATAGTCCTCATCAATGAGCAGCGGTTCGATCACCACCAGAATCTGCACAGAAACAGGTGGATTTGAGATAAGAGTGACCTGCAGAGAGTTTAGAGCAACAACCACACATCTTCCACATCCAACCCACCTTGTGGACGTATGGCCGAACCAGGTCGTCCAGTTTGTACAGGATACGGTCGATGACTTTGACCAGCAGGTGGCGCTCCTGGTCTTCAAGAGTGGGAGACATGAGCAGTGGCAGGATCTGGTTGAAGAGTGGACCGGCTCCGAACTCACGAGCTTTGTCTGTGATTTGACGCAGAGCAGCCTGTCACAGGAAGAGGAGGGTCAGACTCAACATTTAGGACTTTGTTACGATTCAATTCAGTTCATTTATATAAGCACCAAATCACAACAACTGTTGTCTCAGGGCACTGTACACAAAAAACATCTAATCTAAAGAAGCCAGCAGATTGTGTTGAATCACTTGGTCACTCTCCCATCCTGAGCAGCACACTGGTGACAGTGGAGGAAAAACTCCCTTTAAACAGGAAGAAACTAGGGCTGCAACTAACGATTATTTTAATAATCGATTAATCTGTCGATTATTTTTTTTGATTAATCTGCCAAATCATTAAAATGCTTAATTACATGAATATGAGTAGATATAAATTAAGTTAACTCCTTAAGGATGTAAGTTATTGATTAATGAATTAATCTGAAGTTGATTTATCTTAGACTGATTAACAGTTAATTAATAAGCAGCCATTTTCTTAAAAACCGGAGTTTTCTCTTGAATCAAGAGKGTCTTCCCATAAAATGAAGGATTTTTTTATAATCTCCTGAATTAAAAAACAGAAGCCCATAATACATTTTAACAATTTTGCCAAATGTATTAAATACTGACTGAAAAAAAATGTGTATTTCTCCTACATGAAACATAACAGAAATTTAATAGGTTGCTGAATGAGGAAAATATAATAATAAAATAAGATTTTTAGATGTAAAACTATTATTAATTTATTATAATTAGAATTTATTTACATTTAACTTTTTTTTCTCTAATTCTTTACTTTTTGCTTCATTCTAGTTGGTTCTGTCTGACTAAAACATTGTTCGACCCAGAAAAAGCGGTTCTGAAGCAGCGGTTCTGAAGCAGCCCCCCACCTCCCTCCTCCCATCTCCCTGCAGACCTGCTGCTCGATCGCGTCTTTTTTTTCCTTCGTCCTGAACCGTTTTGCTGCTCAACAAATAACTTTGGACCTTAGTCAGAAAAACAAAATGGTTTTATACTTTTGTCCCGAGAGGAGGACGAAATGGTGGATTTAGGTCTCCCCCCTCCCCCGCACGCACTTCCTCCTCCCGACATGGCGAGCATCAAATAGATCATCTTTTAAAAGAATAAATTTAGCATATACYTTTTATCATATGTTTGGMTCTACTTGGCCTAACAACATGATTTAAAAACTGGTTTAAAGTTCGTAGTCTCTGCTTTTCACCCGAGTCAGAGAGGGTGGATCTTTACAGGTAGAGTTTTTTTTCTTTCTTCCTAAACTTTATTTAGGTCAGCCAGCATTGACAACGCTTTGTGGGTGACGTCATCGGCTCCGCAGCATGGCGAGGCACCCGCAACACAATGAATCGATAATGAAATTCGTTGCCAACGTTTTTAATAATCAATTTTTATCGATTTTATTGATTCGTTGTTGCAGCCCTAGAAGAAACCACCAGCAGAACCAGGCTCAGGACAGGTCTTTCACGACACATAAGGCCAACATAAGGGAAGCACAAGCACTATTTTGTAAGATAATTAGAAAGAGGAAAACATCTTTGATTTATAAAAAAAAAAAAAAAAAAAAAGAGGTACTTCCTCTGTGAACGAGTCTTAATTGTTTGCTGCTCCCAGTGGAATACGACTGTCAACTATGACTTCCACTGACAGCAGCAGCTTCTCAAGGAGGAGATTCTGTAGCAAGCAAATATTCACGCTGTAGCCACATACAGGCTCAGTGCTGGGTGTTGATCTTGCAAAAAAAAAAAAAGATACATTTCTAAGCCATGCAGGTTGCAGGAAAGCCCAAGAAGAACAAAAAGCAAACCTTTCTCATGGGTGGTGTTCCATTTTTAATCTTTAGTAAGAGCTTCATGATCTTCCTTTCCTTCTGTTCCTCTGGGCTCAGGGTTGCCTCATCCACCTCAACCTTAAAGAAAAACACATTCAAACAGAGTTAACCACCTGAATTCTGTTGACTGAACTCTTTTCTCTGTGCAGCTTTCCTGCTCACCAAGAGTTTGTCAAAGTACTGGATGTCATCAGGTTTAAGAAAGGGAAGATTTCCTGAAGGCTGGTCGTTCATCTGTTTGGTGGTGCGGTCCTCTGCCTGCATGTGGAAGCCAGTCATGCCTCCAATAGGTGTGGGTGTGGCCGACAGCTTACGGGCTGGGGTACGGATCGGAACATAACCGGCTGGAGGTGGTAAGACCTGTGGACAGTGAGATTAACTCGTCAGTACGGGTCTTTATCACTCGAGCTGTTGTAGCTGTAAGAACACAAACCAACCTTGTATCCCTCTGGGAACATGGCGTCAAGCTCGTCATCTGTAAGAGGCCGGTTCCTCTCATCAATCTCCCTCTCCCATCTCCAGGCCTGCAGCTGCTCTGGAGTCATGCTCATCAGATGTCCTGAGGAAAACAGTTAACTCCATGAAGGCCAGAACCAGCAGCATATAATAACTCCACCATCACAACATGTTAATACAGGGTTCATGCAGGTTTCACTAAGTTAATTTTAAGACCTTTTAAGACCATTAGGAGTRATATTTAAGACCAAACAGACACATTAACAGAAACACTGAAATGGTCCCAGAAATTTTAACATAGAAACCTTTTGTTGCTGTCATTTTAGCTATTAAAGAATAATTAATTTTAATAAAAGAACACTAAATTATTTTAATGAAACAATCATATCTATGAGACCTTCATATCGACTGCTGTAGATCACTTCCAACTGAGTGCAAAAATCACTGATATCAGCCAAGTCTCATTTCCCATGTTCAAAGCACAAGCAGTGGACATGACTGAACTTCTTTAGTTTTAGGGCAGGTGAACAAGCTGCCGTATGCAGGGGGTTTTAATGGCAAAGAGGTTAAAAACATGGAAGTAAAGTGTGACATTTTTAGCCTGCATTTATCACAGGATTTGTAGTTTAACGTGTACAAAGACCAGTAACAAACTTAGCCCTTCATGAAGACAGATCACGTCAACCTGTGATTACGGTGCTTTACTCGGTTTATTTTTGCAGCCAACACTTCTCAGGAATCATCAAAAGTAAAAAAAAATTAAGACTTGAAAATTTTAAATTTAAGACCTTGTGGATCTGGGCATTTTAAGACTTTTTTTAGGACTAAAATTTTGACTTTTGAATTTTAGGTCTTTTAAAGACCTGGCATGAACCCTTTAAATAAAATATTTGAAATCACCAGAGATGAAAGCATGAATGTTTACCAGGTGTTGGTGTGGCCATGTTCATTGCTGGTGTTCCTAATGGAGTCTTTCCTGGGGTCAGCAGGGGGGTTGAAGAGCCCATCTGACTGGCAGGGGTTTCATCCCACCGAGACTTCCTCTTACTGGCCCCGGGGGTTGGGGTTTCGCCCACAGACTCCTCTCCTCGGTCTGTTCGTGGGGTTTCAGCCCAGCCACTGCCGTGTCCCGGAGTCTCCCTCTCAGTCTTTGGGGTTTCGTCCCAGCGGTTCTTGCGAACGCTCCCTGTGGCTCCACCGTGACCAGGTGTGGCGTGGCCAGGTGTGTCCCTACCAGGGGTGGCAGCCCCAGCAGGYGTGTGGCTGGGCGTTGGATCCCACATACAGAAACTGGGGGTGGCTCCTGGGGTCTCACTGCCTTTAGGGCGACCAGGGGTCTCATCCCATCTGCTGTTTGAGGGTGTGTGTGCAGGAGTGTGTCCTGGAGTCTGAGGACAGGTGGGAGGAAGTGAAATTTACAATTCAAATAAAAAAGGCAATTTAAAAGTCTGCAGGATTTCTACAGCTTAAGGCAAGTTCAATTTAAGACTTTCAAACCACTTTAACGCCAACTAAAATGAAATTTAACTTCACACAAATGGGGGGGGGGGGTGGCAAAAAAACGAGTTCGACAATTTTACACAAATGTTTAACACAAAAACTAGCTGCTAGATGCATTCAGTGATTTCAAAACTAAATTTTACCCATCATTTTAATACRAGATGAATTACAATCCTACTTAGAATGTGTTAACATGTTTAAGACCTCTGAAATTTTAATTTAAGACATTTTAACGCTAATTAAAGAGTAACTTACCCCAAAATCAACTTCTTTGAAAGTGTAGTGGAACTGTCTAAACCAGGGGTTCTTAACCTTTTTGACCTCGGGGCCCAATTTATTGAACATAAAGTGGCACGAGGCCCAGTCACACATTACCATTGTACAGATCAAAATGATAATTATTGTAAATCTGGGATTAATTTTTATTGTATTTACATTATAACTAAATTAAATACACTTACATTTTAAAAGTAAAACTCTTGTCAAATAATCACAAGACATGATTATGACAAACATTTTTATATTGTAAAACTGTTTGTTTACGTTCATGACAAAAGAAAACTCGTGGTTTTTTTTTTTGTTTTTTTTTGGCCGGAGGGAATTAGCAACTGCGCATGTCAGTGCTTCTGTTCTGAATAAAAGCCTGGTGCATGTAAACACTCATTTACACAAGTTTAATAGTCTACTAACTAAGTTTAGGACTGCGTGATGTTCGTTTTTATAAATAAGATGCATCTTCATCGTCCTGGCGGACAACTTTGAGTTGAACGTGTGTGTTTCCCCTTATTACTTATAATATTGGGCATGTGTACTGTGTATGTTCATTGCACTTTAGCAAATTCTGAGAAATAAAGCCACAAAGTGAGAATGTTTTTGTTTTGGGCATTTTTAGAGTAACGCAAATTCACAAATGTTAACACAAATTACTCAAATGAATTTGTAAAGACCAATATGTTGTCTTTTTTAAGACTAAAACTAAACAATTTTTTAAAGCTTTTGTCGAGTAAAACTCGACTAAACCCATTAAATATAGAAATGACTAAAACTGACTAAAACTAAGAAGTATTTTTGTTAAAAAGACTAAGACTAAAATTAAAATGGCAGTCAAAAACAACACTGATAACAGCTAAATGTGAGTTTGTATGTATATCATGAAACTTTACTTTTTACGAAGTCATTTCTTTAAAACGTGTCAAACTCAAGGCCAACTCCTGTGTGGTCCGCCAGTGGGTAGGCCATGCCCCTCACTGTCTCTTGGCACCTCCCACTTTGTTGGCATTTTTCAAATTTGCCTTGGGGCGGTGCTTTAAGTTTTTAGATTGACGAATTCAATGCCGTTGTAGATTTTTTTAAGGACCCACAGGAACCCTGAAACTGAGTAACTGTTCTGAAATACCAAAAAAGACTTATGTTCAACAAGTGGCTCACCTCAGAAGTGGCATCAGCCTGGTCCCAGCTGGACATCTTTTTGGGTGTGGCATTGGATGGGGTTTGGTCGGCTGTCTGGTCCCAACGTCGCTTACGTTTTGCAGCAGCTTGGGCGGCAGCTTGGGCAGCAGCGGCCCCATTGACAGCTTTTAGGTCTCCTGATTTAGCCTTTTCCACCAACTGCTGACGAATCTCCCTCTGCACACAAAGTCATGATCATTATGGTGGCAAACTAAAGGCTGAGCACAAAGAAAAAGGAAACTGTGTGCCATCGCTACATAAGAACAAGGGAAATATTATAGATCATCTGCAGTGCCATACTGTGGCTCACTGCCAGAGGAAAATGACTTTTGTTCCCTCTAAGACAGTGTAGATCAATTACTGGCCGACATTTGTCACTTTATATAAAATAAAATTCAGCCACGTCTGTACATACTTCAATTACCAGTCAGATGGTTGACACAATTAGCTTACTTAGCCCACAATGAGTTTTAAAAGTTAGAATGATTTTTGATACATAAACTTCTTGAGTTTAGAAATTSTCTAAGAATACTTGTTTTGATTTTGCCATTTAAATGCAAAGAAACAAAGAAAAAACAAAGAAACTGCATGAGAAACAAAGTGTGATACACCCAAGTATATGAAATTYACCATCCACCCCTCAAACATTTCAAAATAAAATGCCATGTAGAAAACTACATTTACAAATCATTAAAGAATTAAAATAGACTCTGCAATATCTTACCTCCTCTTTTGACAGGTTCTGCTCCATCATGACGTCCACGTAAGACCTGACCTGAAGCTTGGGGTCCGGCGTTTTGCCCCCTGCGCGAAAGAGCACGAACAAGAAAAGAGGAGATTCATCAGCAAACAGAAACCTAAATTATCACAGACACAACAAGCACAAATCTAACCCTGTCGTTTCAACAACAAAAAATTACTCATCCTGCTGTTCTGTTTAACAAAAAGTCCTAGTGAATTACATACATACATATATGCAGTTGTTTTTATTACATAGAGTCATAGCATTCTAATGAAAAACAAGCAGATAAATAAAAAGAGCTGAGGTTGTGTGCTTTGTGTGGATTAAGAAGTATAGCCATCACTGATGCAGGGCTCCTGGCTGTGCTCCTCAGAATACGTACACTTTCAGTGCCAAGGGTCCATCTGCAGTCAGACTTCAACCGGCAGAAAAGAGGCCTAGAAAATTTCTCTTTACCATTAGTAACACTTTGGAAAAGGGTTTGAAGTCACACACAACAGTATACCACCTGTGTTGCAATGATCTATGGCACTCAAAACAATGCATCTTCTTGGACATAACCACAAAACTAAAAATAAACTTATCTGACTCTGTAGTGCACATTCCCAATTATTTATTGTAAGAATTAAAAAATGAAGTTTTTTCAAGTTAGAATGTAGATGACCTTCCTTAACTTAATACATATATGTAAAAGCAAGCATAAATAACTGCTATAAAAWTTTTAGTTAAAATGTCTGTGCCAAACCAACAGCACTACTCATTAACCCACATTTAGATCCTGACTTCTTTGTAATGACAAAASTAAAGACATGTGATCAAATATTTGAAGACATGAGCAATATAATCTCAAGCTGTAGGTTAATAATAAGTGATATAAGTGAAAGAGGCCCTTGGGGTTGAGGACTGAAGTAGCTGGGCTGCATCTCATTCCCCTCACAGCCCCCAAAATAAGCAGCCAGTGGACCCTGACCAAACTGACATGTGCACTGTGTTCCCCATAACCTACACAGGATGAGTTGCTGCACCCTTAACAGAGTGCAGTACAGGACTGGCAAAGCAGTACTGCTGTAGGAGAGAAATTAAGGACAGTTAGTATGGGCCTGTGGTATTTTGGCACACAACTTTTCTTCACAACATATTTCTATTTTACAGAGAGAGCTGTAAAATAAAAATATATTTACACAACAACTAGGTACAAAAAGCTCTCTACATGCAGGCTTGAAAAAATAAAACCCTGAAACACTCAAGACTATTAAACCTGGAATTGTTCTGGGACATAGGAATGCAAATTGTACAACAAAAAAATTATAAAAAATTAAAGTAGCTTGCTCAAAGTTGCTTTTGATGTTACTTTTCAGGAACAAAAAAAATGAAATAAGATTTAGAAAACAATTTTAGTTATTGTTAACGAGTAAATTATTCAAATGTGCAAGCAAGCTGGCTACATATATTAAAATAACTAGCTTGCTCAGTCATGAGGCCCCAGACCACTTTAAGGTAGTTAACTTAAAACTGACAAAACAAATAATGAAGGTGATAAGTTACAGTAAGTTTTCTGTCTTATAAGAGACAGAAATCCAAAAGTTCTCTGTGCCTCTATATTAAACTAAAGCCTTCAAGCACATTTCCTTCACTGACTGCCTTAGAATCTACAGCTACTGTGCCTAGTGTGGAAAAGCACAGTGCATCAGTACGTCAGTTGTACGACACCTAACCCATACTTTCATAGACTTTGTATCCCATCATGGGGATTGCTAACCCTTCGACCCACACACAACCCATCTGCAACCCATGTTTGTTAGGAGACACCTAACCACCTCTCCCACTCAACAGGATGGTTAACCCTACGATGGCTTCCAGCACAGATAAAGATTGAGCCCTTTCATTAGGACCAATATTCTCCCACAATACAATGAGCCCATTCTGACATTTGTAACAAAAATGGAAAACGTCGAGAGAGAGAGAAAAAATTTCCACCACAAAGGATTGACCACAGGGAAGGCATTTAATCTGGGAGGCAATCTATTGCATTGTGGTCGAAGGGTTTCACAGCAAAACTAAACCAAAGACAGTCATGGAGGGGCATCTCAAAATTGATGGGATGAGTGGGAAAGTCATAAAATGTAGAAAGATTTACCATCTGCAAAAGGGTCGTGACGTTCGGGTGAGATGATCATATGTCTGCGTCGGCCTTTGTATTCATCCTCTCGCTCAGCGATCTTCGGTGGGCGATGCTCTGCAAATGGGTCGTACTGTAAAACCAAAACAGAGGAAGGGTTTAGTTGTAGTTCTGTTCACCAAAAACCTTTTTCTAGAAAAGTCAACGTAGGAAAGATCCAACCTGTGACAAAAAGAAAACGACTTACYTGCTCATCTGACTGAGGAATGGCGTTAAGTATTGCTACTGGTGCATGATAGCCTGGTTTCTTTTGTCCCAACAAGCTTGTTGATGTGTCGACATCATCATCCTGTGGAAAAAACACAAGTCTAGTCAAATCTTGCCAACCTGGCAAGACTTTCTTAGCTCATCAACAGAATACAAAGACACAGGAGCAGTCAAGCTCCACAAAACAAGTGTGATGGAAGACGATCTACAGTTTACAAAGCATTTGTATTCAGAAAAACTTACATCCTCTTGTTCATTAGCAGCAATAGAAGTGACATATCCAGCAAAACGGCTGTCGCTGCCTCCATAGATCTCAAAGTCGTAAACACCAGTGGAGTCCACGCCCACTCCTTGCTCTCCATTTTCTACCAGGGAGGCCCTCATACCCTGGATCTCAAGGATCTGGGCCTCAATATCTACAGACAGAAAAAGGTCAGATGAAATACAAAGCTTCGAAAATTCCTGCTTCCCAGTACAAACCATCTGTGGCTCAGGCCAACAACCTGTAAACAGAAGTGAATATGTAAAATACCTCCATCCCCATTAACCTTACCATTAATGGACCAATTAATCAGCTGGTGACTTAACTAGCTGGTCCAAAATTACACTACTCATTTTCCCCCTCCCTAGTCAGTGAATGCAACAGAGCTAAAGCACTTTATTGCTCTAACAAGTGGCAGTGTGGAAGTACCGGTACATAGGAAAYACAGCTGGATCTCTATGATTACTCAAGACAGTCAGGAAAACCACAAAATGTGAAAAAGTTTAATAAATTTATTGATTCATTTCATTAAAAATRAAATAAAATAATAAAAAATAAAATACAAAAAAAATGAAATGAAGACTAAACTTTCTAAAGAGAACAAAGATCTTTCACAAACAGGATTTCCCCAGTCTCCCATAGCTCCAATACGGCCGATGACATCCTGTTAAAGGTTCCGTATCACTGAATTGTTCATTGATATAGYGAATAAATGTAAATTATATCATGAACAGTTAAAATATTGTGACTCAAATTCCAAATATAATGTTATTTTAGGTCAACAGTTGAAAAACTCTAACAAAATGGGTCAGATTCGTTTGCATAAAAATTAGTACGCCCAAGCAAGAGCAGATTGGTAACATAAATAAAATATGGTAACATAATTAAAATATGGTATAATTTAAAAATTTCTCCAGAATTTGGATTACTTCAGTTATATATAAAAAAACATCAAGAGAAAAAGGCGACCAGTCGAATCAAACACTATACAATCTTTAAAATGTTAAACACCCACCAGCTTCAGTCATTTCACATTATATTATCCTGATGAGCTCAGAAAGCGTAAGTAGTGGGGGAACGCTCCTGCGTTTTTAGCAAAGAATTGAGCTGCATCGTTGCATGAACGACGCTAAATGGATTAGCCTTGTGTCAAGATGGCTGAACAGTGCGAAATTATCCAACTCAAATGATGTTTATTTCACTACAACGCGGGGCAAACAATTAATATCGGTTAATTTTGAGCGCATCTATAACTTTAAGCCTTCATTTAGTCGCTTGTGTATTCATGAAATGCATGAATAGCCAGCTCAAGCTAACTAGCTTAGCAATCAGCGCCATTATGTAAGGTCCGCGTTGCGTCGTAGCAGATGCTTATCGTCTTTAAAAAGGCTTTTTAACGCAAAAATCGAAGTCCTACTAATTCTGAAATTATAGCTAAACATTTTCCAAAACATCCAAATGAGCAACAATGTAAAACRGAAAACACCGATGTAATTCCTCTAATAATTTACCTTCGTGCGTTTTGGCGATCTTCGCCATTTTGACGGTGTTGTTTCAGACTGAAACCGGATGTCGGTTGTTTCGCACTTCCGTCTCTTTTTAACTGATTTCAGATCAGTTGTTTGGTATTGAAAACCTCTGCGATATAAAGTGCTGCTAAAAGGTAGAGTAAATGGTTGGATTTTGAAACTATTTCGACAATTGCATACTAGGAACAATGCTACRGTAATATTGCGAATAAAAGTTCCTTACTTTTGTATCACAGAGCCCAGAGACACAGTTAAAAATGCAAATTATTTTATTTTTTGTGATAATTTACAGCTCTAGTAAAGTTGTTTTTATCTGTTTACAATCATTGGGTAATTATTTTATCTGCACATCTCATAATCCAACAGATTCAGATTGCAGGTAAGTAAACTTCACAAACCTTTTAATGTTATTTCACGTGCACTTTAGTTCAAGAACAAAATATCTATTTTCAACATTTGAAATTTTGTGAGAAGGGGATCTGGTCAGTTGAAACAGGGGAGAGGAACTTGTTTTAATGACACAACAGGAAGCTAATGTCTGGCAGTAGCTTTTGTCAAAGATCATCTCACTTCCAGCATCCTGAGGCTATAAAAATGAGGGAGGCGGAGGAGAACTAGTGAGTGTCCAAGCCAAACAGGATGAAACATCTAAGATTACAGTACATCAGGAAGAAAGGCCCAGTGTTAAACTAATGAATGAATGTCTCAGGCAGCAGAAATTGTTGATTTTAAAAAAGCGTTTGATACTATTAACCGCGCAGTATTTTTGAAAAGCTAAATAAATATGGTATTATAGGACCTGCATTACAGTGGGTATCTAATTATTTGGAAAATAGAAAACAATTTGTACAAATAAATAATGTAATATCTGTGTTTTGTAACATCTCATGTGGCGTGCCGCAGGGTTCCATTCTAGGACCTAAGTTATTTATTTGTATGTGAATRATTTGGTCAATGTGTCGGGACTTTTTAGGTGTGTTCTATTTGCTGATGATACAACATTCTTTTGTTCCAGTAAAGATATAGAACAAATGTTGGAGATGGTACAGACAGAATTTGTGAAAGTACAAAGTTGGTTTCAACTAAATAAATTATCATTAAACTTGGATAAGACAAATGAAATGATTTTTAGTAACAGTAAGAGAACTGTATATGTTTCATTTAACATTGATGATGTTGAGATCTATAGAGTCAGTGAAGTGAAGTTTCTAGGTGTCATCATGGATAAAAAAACTGACATGGAAAAATCATATAAATGGTTAAAAAACAAAAATAGCCAAATCTTTTGGAGTCATGTACAAAGTAAGAGAACTATTCAACSATAAAGCACTATTTATGTTGTATAATGCTATAAATGTTCCACATTTAATTTACTGTATTGAAGTATGGGGTAAAGCTAGCAAAACTATCACAAAACCTATTTTTATTTTACAGAAAAGAGCTCTAAGAATTATCGCAAAAAATTACAGCCACCCATCGAATATGTTGTTTTATGAATTGAAATTATTAAAGTTCTATGATTTTGTCGATTATAATATTTTGCTGTTAATGTACAGAGCTCATAAAGGTGTCTTACTTTCCAACATTCAAGCAAATTTTTGTTAAAAGAGAGAGCTGTTATTATCTTAAGGGAATTGAAATGTTTGTGAAACCCTGGTTCTGTACGAGCCTTAAGGAGCGATCCACTTTAATCCAGGGAATAAGTTTGTGGAACGGTCTGGAAGATGAAGTTAAAAATGCCAGATCTTTGTTTATATTGAAGAGAATGATAAAATCTAGTATTCTGAAGAAATATGGAGAAGCATAAGTGAATTACTGCTAATTGTTGTTTTGAGTTGGTGTTTTAAATTTAGCTTTGTTTTTAGTTTTTTGTGTGTTTTCATTTGTTTTGATTTTGTTGTAATTACCTCCGCCATGGAGGTAATGTTTTCAGTCGTGTATGCCTGTCTGTCTGTCATTCTGTCTGTGGACAATATTACTCAAAAACTTGTGGACGGATTGTCATAACATTTTTACCACATGTGGCTACTGGCCCAAGTAACACACCATTACATTTTGGTGATGTTCCGGATCACGATGCGAACACAGGATTTTTTTTCTTTTAATTCTCTGAGATCGGCAAAGCTGTGATGCTTTCACAGGGCTTCTGTAAAAAACAGAGAGCTTTCAGTGTTCATTTGAAGTGGATTCGACAGCACAGACTTCAAACTTTATAAAAGTAATGTTAAAACCAGATTTAATGATGAATAATTTCTGCCATAATGTGCGCATTTTTACACATTTGGTGCGCATTTAGAGAACATTTTGTGACCAGGGAGTGCGTGACTGCAGCATGAAACCTATTTTTCCCATTTCCTCAAACACACCACATTTCCGAAACAACCAATCAAAACAGTTTTTCACTACTAGGCTTGTAAACACAGAGCTTCTGGCCGGGCCTCAAAGTTTGGAGATGAGGGGAGCCAGGAAGCACTTTATAAAGAGAGTCAAACCATTACAAACTCATACAAGGGGATAAAACAGACGTTTTACATGGTGAAATGTGACTGATGAAAACTTAGGAGCTCCGACACCAGTTTGACGATGAATAACGTTGGTTGACGAGTCTGACTTTCTTTTTTTTTTCACATTGGACTCCTCCGGAAAGAAATCCCTTGCATACTGCCTGCTTAAATGTTCGCTACGTCAGAACTTATACGGCAAATGTGTTTACATCTCTGCTTTTGCACATTAAATCCATTACAGGATGGGGGAAATTGGTCTTGGCGGAGATTTGCACTCTCCGAGTGCTTCTAGTTTACTTTTATTTTGAACATATTTTGAGTATAAAAAAGGGGCAGATATAAGATTTATTCTTCTTCTGCTGCCTTTCGTTTTACTTTGATTTCATGTTTTATGGTTTGTTTTTTGTTACAAATAAAATGATTAAAGGAAAAAATGTAGAAGATGAGAAACGAGGATTCCTCATGGAATGATAAAACCCCTAATGGTGCCACCAGCAGAATAATGGAAATGATTTATATTAGTAGATCCTGTAGTGGCTAGAGAGGACTGGAAGACAGAAGCACTAATCACGACAGCACAAGAGCAATACAACTTGGAGTCTACCAGGAACCAAGATGCAGGCATGCAAAGATGAGACAGTCCAACACATAATAGCAGGATGTATGATGCAGACAGCCTCATAACCAAGTGGCTGGAATAATTGACAGAAATACCTGTGCTTACTACAAGCTGGAGGTCCCACAGGCAAACTCCACCAAGGGTGGTGGAGAACAGCAGGTCTAAGATTATTGGACTTGCAAATACAGACTGACAATGGATAGCTAATCATCACTATGGTGGTCAACAAGCTACAGATGAAGGCAAACGCTGCAACATCAAGAAGAAGGAACACAAGAAGCTCCGGAAATACCAAGGACTAAATGAGGAAAGGAAGAAATAGTTGAGAATCAAGGACTTAGTGGTGCCAGTGATCATCAGAGCACTCAGTGCTGTGTCCCCCAAACTAGAAGAGTGGCTTCAACAGGARCAATCTCAGAAATTTCAGTCCAAAATAGTGCAGATAAGATAATGTGCATAATCATCAAGTTACAAGACCTCTGGTAGGGGGCCTGAGCCCAAAGTTTAGGGAAAAACAGGTGAGCTGGGTTTTTGTTTGTGTAATTTAAATTTTAATGTCAGAATAGCTTTAAATGAAATCTTAAAGTAGCCGTTTTATTTCAACATAATTCTAATGTTAAAGATTTTAATATTTTTTTCTAATAAAATGAAAAATGGACTTGTTATAAAGAAAGAAACACAAAAACACTGTGATGCAGTGTTATATAGTTGGGTTTTACAGTTTGTGTCAAGGCCGGGTCTACGCTGGGGCAAGAGGGGGCAGTGCCCCCTCAAACGAATGCCCAGCCCCCTTAAATCAAATCCGCCAATAAATGAACAAGTTGTCTCTCATCTCTGCCTCCTCCACTCCGTGCTGTGTGCAGGAMAGACWGGCTGTATCTCATTTCATGGGTTGCAGCCGATTTGGACCTCATTCGTCGGCCACTGACGTCACTCTCCCGCGCCGTAGGCTGTCCCAGTTCGTCGGTGCCTACGAAAATGGTTGACAAATGCAGCCGACGTTTTCGAGTTGTTGTCGGCTGCGTCGAAACACATTACCGCTGCCCACAGTATCCCAGAATGCATTGCGCCGGTGTCCCAGAATGCATTGCGCCATCTTTGGCAAAAGAATTCTTCTTAAATGTAAGTTGTTTTTAACCTAGCTGATTGACTTTTTATTGCAATAAGATGTTAAATAACATATCGAAACTAAATTAAGTTTAATCATTTTTCTATATTTATGTATGACGTTTTTAAAAATAGTAAAGTAATCGCTTTTAACTTGTGGACATGTAATGGTGGTGTAATTATCTCACACATTAAATATACATACAGTGTATTATATTATATTATATTATATTATATTATATTATATTATATTATATTATATTATATTATATTATATTATATTATATTATATTATATTATATTATATTATATTGTTTATTATTATTTATTATTTTTTTAGGGAGCAAGGAGAAAATGGAGGACTTTATCTGGCTGAGAGCATCAAGAGTTGGGGCGAAGCACTCCGGTTTTTATTGACATCTACCTGTTTTTAAATAAAATTTAAATTAGAGGTTTGGAATTTCGACCGCACATACTGTATACTATAGCCCCCATCTGCCCCCTCAAGTATGCATTCCTAGAACCGGCCCTGATTTGTGTACTCCTGTAATGTAGTGTTCGGCTTAATTTTTTTTTAATTACAGAATTTTATCAGAATATTAAATGTAACAATAAAGCTTATTGTAGAATTTTTGAGCTGAAAAGCCTGAACGTAGGCACTAAAGCAACAAGAAACAGCTTTGATTGACAAAATTTTGTTCCTAATGTCCGTGCCAATACATAAAAGTGTTATATAGTCACAGTTATAGTTTTATATAAATACTGTGAACCTGTGTGTTAGGACACCGAAACCCAAGCCAGCATCTCGTGACTCTTAAGCGCGTGCGCGCGCGCGCGCGTAGCGCTCCTTGCTGACGAACGACGGGACTGGCCAATGAAAGCTGTCGGTGGATGCAGATGGACCAATCGCCGCCGTTGAAGTGTGGTGGCGTCATCCGCCAGTAACTCGCATACCATAGCTGAACTTGTAGCAGCTAGCGAAAGAAGAAACCGTCAGAAGAGAAGATGGCGAGAGGCGGTCGGAACCTGCGGAGAATAGCAGAGTATCTGAAGCAGTTACCGAGTCCAGCGTGCCGGGAAATACAGAGAAAAAACAACGTCAGGTAAAGATTCTTRATACGGAGTCATTCTGGAGGATGCAGGACAGAAACACATCGGGCGACAACAACAACACACACAGTCTTACCGAAGTTACTTCGTTACGTTTGTTGACAAATCATTTGATTTAGCGGTATTTAAATGTGCCGGTGGTAATCATTCACAACATTTACTGTATAAACCCGGTTATGGACTTTGTTTGATTACAGATAATGTTAAAACAATCCTGACGCTTTTGAAAAGTTAACAGGGGCGTAGCTAGGTGTAAAGATTGGGGTAGAGAGTCTCCATTACACACATTTTTTAACGGGTTACGTACATGCTGCATGAATACATGCTTCATACTATGCTGTACATACATTTTAACTTCTGTGTACACGTTTACTGCTGTTGACACAGTTGTTACTGAAACTGAAACAAAAACCTATTACAGGTTGTTAAACTTAAAATCCTAAATAGAAACTCAAACATTAAAAATATAACAATCAACGAACCTCTGTCCCATTTAAAACCATTATATCTGACGTGAGTGTAATGCTGACTACCATGATAAATGTGGCATTATCAGATAATAAATATGTATATTATTAATATTTTCTCATAGTATATTTATTGCAGCTTAGACCTCGTCTATATGGAAATGTGTTCTCTCTAAAATAATAATTTTATTACCGTTTGTAAAGTACACACAGCASTATGTGTACAAATATTTTCATACCCACAGTTACACGGAAAGTAACCGGCTGTAGTAACAACATTGAGTCTGTATGTCGTGCCGTAACACTGCTGTGAAAATACACAAAACAAAAGAAAGAAGAAAGCGTAGTGTAGACCAAGTAGGTATCTCTGTAGACGAGTAGGTGTTTTCAAAGAAAGGCTGTTTTCAAGTGACACGCTTCCGGTTACATTTCAAAATAAGAGCAACATCAGTCGGTCGTGTTTATTTTTTATTTTTTGAGATATTTTAAAATATTTGTTTTTAATGATGCATTGCCATTTCATTTAAAAAACAGTTTTGGCTGCTAAAGAGAATGTGAAAACAGTTAAAGTGAAAAGTAAAAGAAAAAAGTAATAAAATAAAACCCAACCTTTTCGAAAAATAGAGCAAATACAACTAACCAATCCAGTGCTAGCTCTAGCCATTTTGGTGCCCTGTACGAGTT